TGTAATTTTATAAATCTGTTTAGCTTTCTTTTTCTTTTAATATATTAATATTATTTATTATGAATATATTATTGACTATTATATTAGAGCACATGGCAACATTCCTTATTTCAATTGTAGGTAAAGATATAATATTTATATTTTAAGTTTCAGCTATAAAGATAGATAATTTATAAACAGGGCTCAAATGGATAATTTCATATATCGATGAAGTCACAAGTATGTCGATTACAAAATTCAGTGGTTGTTTGTATTCAGGGGATGCAAATATTAAAGTTACTAAAGTAACAACTAGATGTACGTAGATTATCAAACTTGACCAAAAACTGATATGAATAGTTTATAATAAAGCACGAAAGAAAGCTGTAGAGATGTAGAATTATAAAATCACAAAAGTGTATGAAATTAATCAGAATATATATAAATAAAAATAAATAAATATTAATTATAAAATTAGTAGATAACAAATAGTGATAATTGAATTTAAAATATCCCAATATCCAATGAAATCAACTGTGCCCCCACATCTGCATTGTTTTGTGATGGGCTGATGTTTAGGAAAGTTTAGTTTAATTTAAATAATAAAGTGTCAATTAGTATACAGTTGAAGTCAGACTTATTAGCCCCCCTTTGAGTTTATTTTTCTTTTTTAAATATTTTCCAAACGATGTTTAACAGAGCAAGGAAAAAGTCTTTGTTTTATTTCGGCTAGAATGAAAGCAGTTATTAATTAAAAAAAAAAAATTAAAGTCAAAATGATCAGCCCCTTTAAGCTATATTTTTTGATAGTCTACGGAACAAACCATCATTATACAATAACTTGCCTAATTACCCTAACCTCCCTAGTTAACCTAATTAAGCCTTTAAATGTCAATAAGTTGTATAGAAGTGTCTTGAAAATATATAGTCAAATGTTATTTACTGTCATCATGACAAAGATAAAATAAATCAGTTATTAGAAATGAGTTATTAAAATTTTTATGTTTAGAAATGTGTTGAAAAAAAAAATCTTCTCTCCGTTAAATAGAAGTTGGGGGGCTAATAATTCAGGGGAGCTAATAATTCTGACTTCAACTATGTGTGTGTGTGTGTGTGTGTGTGTTTGTGTGTGTGTGTATATGTGTATATATATATATATATATATATATATATATATATATATATATATATATATATATATATATATATATATATATATATATATATATATATATATACAATATGTGAATATTTTTATTGCTTTCCTAATTAATATTTGTATACACCTTTGTAATTTTATATTTCTGTTTAGGTTTCTTTTTGTTTTAATACAAGCCATATATTAAAACACATGGCAACATTCCTTATTTCAATTTTAGGTAAGTTTAAATTTCAGCTGGAAAGATTATTAACAATAAACAGGACTCAAAAGGATACTATTATTTTGAGTCTCACAAGTATGTATGTCGATTACAACATTCAGTTATCGGATTATCGACTGTATTCGGGATACATGTGAGAAAGTTACCTCAGGTACAACTAAATGTATATGTGAATGAACAATCTTGACCTAACTGAAATAAATAATTTATATTAAAACAAAAAAGAAATCAGAAATATAAAATTACAAAGGCAAATACAATACTGAATTGAATAAAAATATCAAAATATTAATAAAACTATTATTAGATAACCAATAATACATTCCTTAACTAAACTAAATCTGATGATCTACTCTTAAATTCATTAATTCAGTCACAATGATCTTTTAAGAGGTTTGTTTAAATGTTTTATTAATAAGGCAACATAAATGTTCCATACCAGATGACATATTACCTGATTTCTACTGAAAAGAAGACAACGCTGCATCCTTGATGTGTTTTCTGAAATATTCCTAGTGTGAAAACTGTAAATGTCATTGAATTGTCACTGGAGGATAAATGCAGGATATGATAACAAAGTCTGAAGAGAGCTTTAAAGGTTCAAACCAAGCATTTGTGGTTTCAATTAAAAACACCGTTTAGAACAGAAAACAAAGTATCAGATAGCACTTGTCATCAAGTAAATGTGGCTGCTATCAATGTTATAAAACACCATCAGGCTGGAGATTCCCACATCATTGCCTCAGTTGTGATCTGCATTTCATGTTTTCAGTACCAGTGTAAAATCTTATATTGGCAAAGCTTCTCATCGTCTTTACAATATAGTCACACAGTTGAAATCTATTGTTCGGAGAGTCTAGAAATGTTCTGTAAGTGGCTGATTACTGACGCTGACAATACATTTTAAAGAGTAAATGCACTTTTAGTTGGTTAATTGCCTGTGTTTCATAGCAAGGCTAATCCAAATGACTCAGGATTGTTAAACACAAGCAGACCTCTAAAACAGTGAAATGACAGGGAAATTATATATAAATGTTTGAATGTACATTGCTATTCAAAAGCTTCAGGTCGGTAAGATATTAGAAGTGTTTTTTTTAAATACATGTAATTCTGAACCAAGACTGCATTTATTTGCCCAAAAATATTTTCAATTGTAATAATATGAAATGCTGCATCCAATTTATATAGCATTCCTGTGATGGAAAAACTATATTTTTCACATAATTTCATAATCTTTAAAAATTCATAGTACTATTATAATTTGTTGACATGAAACAGTTACACAGGTGAATCATTCATCATAATTACTTGATGAATATCAATTTCTAAACAATATTTTTTGTATCATTATTGTAAACTGTAATATTATAAATATTTTATTTCATATATTTATATATCTATATATATAAATGACTTCATATATATATATATTAATATTTCATGCCATTTTTATTAAAAAGATAGTTCACCCTCAAAAATGAAAATGTACTCATGCTTTTTTTCTTTGATTAACACAAAACAAGATATTTTGAAGAAGGTTGGAAACTGTCAGCCAGTGACTTTCATTGTGGGAATAACAAATACTACACTGTGAAACCCTAGTAAACCTTATCAAATAAAATGAGTTTTGTTAACTTAAAAGTTAATGAAAGTTAATTCTACTCATTTGAAAAGAATTTTGAACTCAGTGTTAAAGGTAATGAGTTAATTTAATACCCCATTACTTTAACTATAAGTAATGAACTAAATAGAGTAAGTTCACAGTACTAGTAGATTAGTTTTTTTTAACTCGAATGGTTTGCAGTAATTGGTGTTCTTAAATGGTTTGAGTTGCCTTAACTTATTGGGTTTTACAGTACTAAGTTGGTTTGAGTTCTCTTCATTTATCGGGTTTTACTGTGCTTAAATTGCTTTGTTTACTCAAATGGATTAAGTTCACAGTACTCGTTAGGATTAGTTTTTGAACTTAAATGGTTTGTTGCAATCGGTTTCCTCAAATGGTTTGAGTTACCTTTACTTTTTGGGTTTTACAATGTATAGAGGTCAATGGCTACCAGTTTTCAGTAGTCTAAAAGCATTATTTTATGTTTAGTATAAGAAAGGAATTATTTGATTTTTATTTGATCTATCCCTTTAATACCAATCGATTTAGTACTGATCAGTATTCATTGGTTTTTGCAGACCCAAAATTTTCAACTGTGGAGTCTGAAACATGCAGTTTCTCACTTTGAAAACGTTCCGTTTCACTGTTTTTGCAAGTTAATATCAACTAAAAAGACTTTAAAGTGCTGTATTTATAAAATACTCGTGGTTCTCAATGGGTCAGTCACATCCCAAAAAAGGTTCTTTTCTTCTAACGGGTAGCAAAATAAACAGGCTCACAAGCTTGCTGCATTGTTTTACCAAAACTACTACACTTTGGGGCCAAATACTGTTGCTGAAATTCTTAATAAGTATATAATTGAGCCTGTGCAGCTCTTGGAAAAATAGTTGACACAATATTCTATTCACCTATTCTGCAATGCGTAAGTGTGCTTGTTTTTGGTTCGAGCCTCGGCTGGGTCTGTTGGGGTAACTGTCTGGAGTTTGCATGTCATCCTTGTGGTTGGGCGGGTTTCCACCGGGTGCTCTGTCTCTTCCACAAGTCCGTAGTGCTGTGTAAATTGTCCGAAGTGTGTGTATGTCCTGGTCCTTCAGGTTGGGGGTTGAGCATTAGGCTAAAAACCCACTTCTGAAAAATGAGATGTAACGAAACACCAACATGGTGCAGCGAAATACCAACTTCCATGTAAATGGCCCTGGGAGTAAGTAAAGGAAAAATGACTAGGAGTAATAAACTGCAGAAAACGATCAAAGAACTTGCTCTACGAACAAGTGTGTTGATGACTATACATAAAAAGATGAATAATATAATAAGAAAATATCAGTTTGCAACATGAAGCAGCGTAACGAGCTGTATTTAACACGAGCTGTATTTTAGCTGTATTTTTTTTGTGTATTTTAGCTGTATTTTTTTTTGTGTCTAAAATAAACGGAGGTGAATTTCAATGGCTGCGCTCGCTCGTACATAAAGAATACAGTCATTTGAATACGGCCTTTTATATACTGGTAGGAGAATTTTCTATGGGATAATGCAAAACTAATTGAGAACCACCACTCTGGACAAAAATGCAGTTTTTTTAGAGAAATTTAGGCCACGTCGGCGATGGACTGTCCTAGAATTCACTTTCAGGGCAATATAGTGATGCCATAAACAGCACATGGATTATGTGATGTGTTGACCCAATGAAAGACACTAGATGTTCACACCATGTTCTTCGCTGAGCCTTTCCTTAAAAAGCACCACTCAGTTCATTCCTAAGCCTTGCCAGCAGGTCCTTAGTCTCCTGAACTCCTTATAGCATTAGAGGATCAATGTTCATCTGAGGACAGCTCCACTGAATCTCCACGAGGTCAGATCAGATCGTGATATGGTCTAGTAGACGAAACTGTAGATGTGCCGTAGGAAGATACATAAGCGTGATCCTCGACTGATCCTCAGGAGTGGGTCTGCCAAACTCCATTTTCATTGATTTGAGAAAGGGAACATTCTTTGTCCTGACTATGAAGTTCAAAGCAACATAACGTTCATTCATTTATTTATTTCTGTCGCCCTTCGACAATTATTAATAGGACTGGAGTGAGGTCCATCAATATCTTCAGCATATCCATAATTTCGGGATGTTCTTTAGCTCCTTCGATGAACTCTTCCAGTGTCAGTTCACCTGAAGGATTGAGCAGAGGGAGATGTGATTAGCTCACTGAAAGAGTAGAAATCAACACAAACGAAGGATTTTGATTCAGTTAAGTGGTGCTCACCCTCTCCGTTAACATCAATCTTTTCAAATATAAGGGCCACTATTTCCTCTGGCACAATGTCACGATTTCTCGTGATGTCTTGTATAGCCTGTGGTACGACAAATAACAAGCATTTCCAATCAATTTCTCATCTCTAGAACATGCAGCTTAAAAATCTGCACTAAATGAAAAGTTTAAGCATGTAGATCAATTTTTTATGTTGTTTTGTGCACTTTATATCAAATGTTTGGAGGGTTTTTTCAGCCCTCTCAAAAAAAGTTTCAATCGAGTTAACATATTGCAATTGTGGCTTTATTTCTTGGAATTTTGAGTTTATATTTCTCTGTGGTCATTAAAAATCCCAGGATGTCCTTCGAAAAAGAGTAGGGGTATATCGCCGGCTCCCTTGACCAAATTTGCCCACTGGCTTCTGTAGATCATTGTCTGCCAACCATCCTCTTATCATAATTGGCTTCATCGCTCTGTCTCCTTTGTGTGTGTTGTGCTGTCTGGCACTATATGGCTATTGTCGCATCATCCAGGTGGATGCTGCACACTAGTAGCAGATGAGGAGATTCCCCCAAAAAATGTTTAATTAAAATGCTTTGAGTGTCTAAAAAAATCACCATAAATGTAATGAATTATCATCATAAATAAATAATATTACATTTTGAGGAAAATTTCTGAACTTTAAGAAGTAAGGAGGGGGAAAATGTGAGAAACTTTACTGTGAGATATAAACAGTTTTTCTCAGATAAAAATTATAAATGTACAATTTTGAGTAAAAATAGTTGATCTATAGAATAGAATGTTAAATGATATTATAGACAATAATATATAATATAATCTGAAATATACATTTAAAATTAGGAGTAAAAAGAGTTAATCTTAAAATCCTAAAAAGTAGAATTTAGAGTTTAAAACTGCAAAGAAAAAAACACAATTGTGAGGTCAAAAAATCACAAGTAAAAAAGTCTGAATTGTGAGTAGTACAAAGCCAAAAGTATGAAAATTCTGAAAGAAAAAGCCTTGAAAATTATAAAAGAAAATGGATAACCAAATAAGGAAGGGATGATATCTATTTTGTCCATCAAGAGTGATAGGATTTGCTGCTGTTGCTATCAGATCAATCAGAAGAAAAAAATATATAAAAATTTTTGGAAAAAAACTTTAATTTTAATATCTATATTTAATATTTAAATTTTCTTCTGGATAAAGTCTAGTCTGTTTATTTTATTTCAGCTAGTATAAAATCAGTTTTTAATTAAAAAAACATTTTAAGGTCAAAATTATTAGCCACTTTAAGCTTTATTTATTTTCAATAGTCTACAGAACAAACCATAATTATACAATAACTTGCCTTATAACCCTAATCTGCCTAGTTACCCTGATTAACCTAGTTAAGCCTTTAAATGTTACTTTAAGCTGTATAAAAGTGTCTTGAAAAATATCTAGTAAAGTATAATTTACTGTCATTATGGCAAATAAAAATTAATTATTAAAAATGAGTTATTAAAACAATTATGTTTAGAAATGAGTTGACTATTGTGTGTATGTAGGTATATATATGTATATACATGTATATGTATATACATGTATATATGTGTATATATGTATATATATATATATATATATATATATATATATATATATATATATATATATATATAAGCCTAAATCCTGTCATAATAAGAATCGTCCATTTTGTAGTTATGTTGACTTTAATATGTGAAGTGATGAAGGCGCCGCCTGAGGTCAAGTACCTGCGCTCGACACGCGACGGCTAAAGTATCACCACAGAAAGTACCAGGTACAGAAACGGCACCAGGCACAGAAACGGCACACAAAAGACAGTTCGCTAACCGGATTAAATCAGCTCATCTACAAGTTAAGCAGACTGATTCAGGGTCCACGTTAACCCTACCTGCCTTTTCAATCAGTTCAACAACCACTTTCTATTTTTGCTTCGTTCACAAAAGACCTAATGTGACAGGCAGCGTGTACTAATGACCTGATGTGGCATCTTGTTTTCTGGAACAAAGGTAAGCAGTTGGTAATGATTTACGGTACTATTTAATTTTTTTTTTACTTACTGTAAATATTGTTTCCAATTCGTCCTTGTCAATCTTCCCGTTTCCATCCTGGTCAAAAAGTTTGAAGTACCACTTGAGTTTCTGGTTGATTTCTCCCTTGAGCATTAAGCTAATAGCAGCGATGTACTCCACAAAGTCGATATATCCATCCTAATGACAAGAGAAAAAGAGAGACAGTGAATTTTACAATGTGTTATATGTAGCCTATGTTTTTTTTTTTTAAATTTTATAAAACCAGAGATGGACAATTTAAGCTCTTTAAATGAGATTGAAGGTGGATAATTGTGTTAGCTTGCTTTTTAACCTGTTGTTTAACCTCAACCGAGCCTAATGAAGTGAGCTTGAAGGATTGGATTACACTACAAAATGTAACCACCTCGTTTTATTTTAGGCTATACATTATTCATACATTAAGTTACCCGTTTTGTCTTTATATCTCAATTGACACATTTTATAAACAGTGTAAAAATAGATAAACTAAATTGCTAATAATTTTAAATGTTTTAAAACTTTTTGAATGTACTTTAATTATAAAATTACGACATTAACAGCATTCACTCAGCCAATTTTGTAAAATTTTGTGCATATTTTGATATTTTTATTTTATTTTAGTAAAATTTATTTGCTATTATAGTTTTTATATTTAATAATATGATGTTTTTATATTACAAATATATATTTTTTACTTTTTATTTCTTTATTTGATTAGCACACATTTTCATCTTTAAATTTTAACTTTAAAGTTTTAGTAATTAATGTATTTTTTAGTTATAATTAAAAGTAAGTTAATAATAAATAATTGTCTTATAATGTACATTTATATTTTTGTACATATATTTGCTTTTGACCCAGTGCTGTTTTTAAAACACCTCGCTACAATGAAGATCAGATCACTATTAGCTGTCATCACATTTGTTCTGACTTACCAATACCTTGTTTGTCAACCCTATTTTACCCATCTGATCCTTAGTGCATAAGTATTTTCAAACATCCATTCAAAGGAAACATTTCCTCACCATTTACTGACCCTCAACTGGTTCTAAACCAGCGTAAGTTTCTTTTTTCCAATGAACAAAATAGAAGATATTTTGAAGAAAGTTGGAAATGGGTAACCATTGAGTTTTATATAACTTTTTTTTACCTACTTCCACTACTTCCACTTTCCAACATTATTCAGAATATCTTCTATTGTGTTCAACAGAAGGAAAAAAAAACTCATAAAGGATTGGGTCCTCTTAAATGTGAGTATTTTTTGCCTATTTTTGGGTGAACTATCCCGTTAAGCCCCATCTAACCGGAGACGTCAAACATTTAAAAAATAAAATAAATCAACATTTTTGGAACATCCACACAAATGACAGCAATCTCACCCTGTCCATGTCGAAAGTGCAGAACACCTGATCCACGTAACTGTTGGCGTCCTCATTCATTCCCTGCAGCCCCAGAATAGACTTGAGCTCAAAGAGAGTGATGAGGCCTGACGGAGACTCTCTCATGAATTTGTTATACCAGTGGTGCATGTCCTCCGCGAGGATGTCATCCAGACTGGCATGGTTGTTACCCATGGCTCTCGTCCCGTCGCTAGTCCAGACACCTGTTTTGTGATGGAGAGGAGCAAACCGGCCTCCTCACTAAACCTGGGGTGTCTGAAACTATTAGAACCTGTTACCGGTAAAAAGAAGGCACCTTAAAATAACTGTTGCTAATAGGATAATGGTGAGAGCTGCCTGTTGAAGAGTAACTGGCAGAGAGTAAGGAAGGCTTACATAAGAGCCTTCGGCCTGCAGATGAACTGTTAGTGCGGTCAGTGCAGTGCAGAGGGCATTGCAGGCAAACTCAGTGCCATAATTGTTAAAGGTCTTGAATTTTTTTATTAAGGTCGAAAAAAATTATCCCTTGTCCTTTCAATTCTGTTATATAATTTAAATTATATGCATACAAATAATAATAAAAATAAATGTATTATTGTTATTTATATCATATATGATCATTTCTGTTTTGTTTTTATAAATATATATATAAATACTACAAACAGTCATCAAATGTACTGTAAGATCATTGGATATTATTAAAATTTTTTTTACTTTATAGGTTTGTATTCATTAAAATTTGTTAAATAATTAGTGTTTTGAATCTGTAGTTTAATGTGATACTATTTATGCATACATGCCTTGAGCGTAAAACTAAACCGAATTATCATCATGTTATTCAGTCAGTTTACATTACTTTCAGATTACATGTACATTCTAGTCATACAGATCATGCAAGGGTGGCCGAGAAAGCTTAACAAGCTGCAATTTAAGAAAACACATGCAAGTACAAAAAAAGCCAGAAAATTAAGAAAAGATCTTCATCTGTTTGACAGCACACGTGATGCAAATCCTCACAAGGCAAATACATAAAAAAAAAAAAAAAAAAAAACTGCAGCAATTTCTCCCAACGCAAAAAAATTACGAAAAAACGCTGCATTTTCTCATAACACTTTCAAATATAGCTAATGGAATTCAGTGGAAATGTTTCAGGGGAACCCTAAAACGTGACGAACCCAGCTATTCAGGTTATGGTTAGTTACGCTAATAAAATACAAAAGACAAGGGAATCAAGATCTTAAAATAAACAAACAAAAAACTCACCTTTCAAAGATCACCTACAACTTCACTGAACAATAGTCAAGACACAGTGGCTTCTGTCACAACTATGGGTCCACTTGAAACATTTCCGTTGTTTTCCAATGTTTTTGTGTTGTGAGAAAATGCTGTGGGTTTTATTAATTTCTTTGCGTTGTTAGAAAATGAGCGTGTTTATTTTTTTAAATGTGTGTGCGTTGCCACCATTTGCAGCAAGTGTGCTGTCAAACAGATGATGATCTTTTCTTAATTTGCTGACATTTTTTGTTATTGCACGTGTTTTCTTCAATTTATGCATATTAAGCTCTCTTGCCCTACTGTACAAATGAATAAGCTATACTTACATAATTTCTACATATATTTTACATTCCTAAATGTAATTATTTAATAAGTGACTACATGTAGTTTTCAATCATACAATATAACATTTTATTACTTGCTTTACTAATGTAAAAGCAAAACAGTAAATCATGAAATAACATACTTGTATAATTTATGCATCAATATCAATTTATTCAAGCTTCAGATATTTTAAAACTAATTTTATTGAATAAATCTTATATAAAGCCTGTGTACATTCATGGGTTTGATCTGTTTAAGTTAGAGATTTTTTTTAAACAAAAACAGCCCAATTACCTAGTGATAACAGTGAAAGTACAATCACTGCGTTGATCCAAGTGATCAAGTGATCAAATTGCTGTCAAATAGCAATGCACTTTGATTGAAGAATATATCAATTGTAATGAAAATGTGACCGAATTGTAACTGAATTGTATCAACTGCAATGCAAATGCTGCTGGCAACATGATCCCGTTTCTGTCCTCCTGCCAGCCAGATCGCTGACTTTTCTCACTTGAAAGTGGTGACAAGGCACAGATCTGTGCTCTTCATTAGGGTCTTAAGGTGCTTTGTATCCACTGCAGTAAATGGGATTAAGCGATAGTCATTAGCTCAAATGTTCATTGCGGGCATTAGCCTGAACCTCTCAACTCATTCATTTCCTACAGGTCCACCAGTAAACTGAATTATTAGTTCACCCCAAAAATAAAAATTCTGAAATAACTTACTCATTCACTTGTTCCAAACCTGTTTGAGTTTCTTTCCTTTGCTGAACACATGGGACAATGCTGAGGAAAAAAACAGCCATACCATTGATAGTAGTATGAATAAATAGGGAAGAATTGGAAGACAATGGCTGTTTTCCCCCCAAATATCTTTCTTTGTTTAGCACTTGAGTGTGGGATTAAATGGTGAGTAAATCTTCATTTTTGGGAGAGCTATCCCTTTAAGACCAGTTTTCTATAGTGGAACTAGCGTTATATGAATCTGCTAAACGCCACATTAATAAACTACACCAATAGACACATTAATATTTAAGATGCAAACATAAAGGTTTTCTTACAAGGTTTGTTTATTGCTACAATCGTCAATTTGATATTTTTTGCACATGGCTGAACTGTAATCTCTGTGTTAAAAAGTGGAGCATCTCAAATCGCATACTTACATTTACATTTACATTTAGTCATTTAGCAGAAGCTTTTATCCAAAGCGACTTACAAATGAGGACAAGGAAGCAATTTACACAACTAAGAGCAACAATGAATAAGTACTAAAGGCAAGTTTCAGGTCTGTAAAGTCTAAGAAGGGAAGTGTTAGTAGTTTTTTTTTTTTTTTTGTACAGTTAGTGTGATATTCAGAGGCAATTGCAGATTAGGAAGTGAAGTGGAGACTAAATAGTTGAGTTTTTAGTCGTTTCTTGAAAATAGCGAGTGACTCTGCTGTTCTGATGCAGTTAGGGAGTTCATTCCACCAACTGGGCAGATTGAGCGTGAGCGTTCGCGAAAGTGATTTTTTCCCTCTTTGGGATGGAACCACGAGGCGACGTTCATTCACAGAACGCAAGTTTCTGGAGGGCACATAGATCTGCAGAAGTGAGTGCAGATAAGAAGGTGCTAGGCCAGAAGTCACTTTGTAGGCAAACATCAGAGTTTTGAATTTGATGCGAGCAGCAACTGGCAGCCAGTGCAAACGGACTAGCAGCGGAGTGACATGTGCTCGTTTAGGTTCATTGAAGACAACTCGTGCTGCTGCATTCTGGAGCAGTTGAAGAGGCTTGATAGAGTTAGCTGGAAGCCCAGCTAGTAGAGAGTTGCAGTAATCCAGTTTGGAGAGAACAAGAGCTTGAACAAGGAGTTGAGCTGCATGTTCAGATAAGAAGGGTCGGATCTTTCTGATGTTATAGAGTGCAAATCTGCACGATCGAGCAGTTCTAGAAATGTGGTCAGAGAAGTTTAGTTGGTCATCAATCATTACTCCAAGGCTTTTCACCATTTTGGATGCAGTAATGGTTGCCCCATCCATCTGGATTGAAAAGTTATGGTGTAGAGTCGGGTTGGCAGAAACTACAAGCATTTCCGTTTTTGCGAGGTTCAGCTGAAGCTGAACCTCGCATACTTATGCACTAGTCTACGTCATTTTGTAGTATAAATAGTGAAAGTAGTGCATTCACTCTGAAAACTCTAGAAAGAATAAGTGCACTTTAAATACCCGGATGATGCACTTATTCAGTCGGTAAAATGAAGTGTGGAATGATGGATACTTCACACACTCAACTACCGTAGATTTGCTCACGTAGCAGAAGGGGTGGAGCTATGTTAGGTTACTTTATATTGGATTGTGAAAGCAAAACTCTCCTACGAGAGTGATTATACCGCCCCCCGATGGTGAATGCAGTTATACTCATGGCAGGTATTCTTTGGTAGTTTGGTTATTTATTTCGCTAATTTGGCAATCGACAAACGTCATCAGGAAAACAGTTTGAATTTCCGCTTAGTAAAATAACCATTAGTGTTCCATTTGGGACAACACTACATACAGATACTATACTGTTGAGTGTGCAAGTGCATAAGTACATTGTGCATAAGTGCATAGTAGCAGCAGTTTGAGACTATGCCGCCAGGGGGCACAATGGGATGGGGTGAGAATGGACAGAAATATACAGTAACTGTGAATACCATAGATATATACATTAGATGTCGCCCACCCTGTTGTTGTCTATTAGAAGGAATGCGTCAATAGAGCCGCCATTTTAGTACAGGGTAGCGCTCCTTTGAAATAAATGCGGGACCAAGCTGCAGTGGAGGACTGTAGCCATCCAGAGCCAGAGAATAAAACATGTACACATATATCTATGATCGGGAGTTTTCCCGGAGGTCAGTATACACAATTTGCTTTTTAATTACGAAACTTATAATTTTACCAACACAATCTCATGGCAATTCGTAACTTTTTCATTAAGTGGCTAATTCGTACAATCTAATTCGTACATTTTATTACGATTTGCTCATGCCCCAATGACGGTTGGGTTTAGGGGTCGGGTTAGGTGCCACGCCTCCTTTTTAAAGTCGTACAATTTCGTAAGCATGAACTCGTACGAATTAGCCACTAAACTGGCAAAACGTAAAATACTTAAGTTTTCTTGTGAGATCAGGCTGAATTTGACATCACTTTTCTACATTGATGCATCAGTGATCGCACAGGCATTCCTGACAACAAGCTTGTGTTTGTGTGTATGTAAATGTTCTATCCACCCTGCCTGTTAAATTTGATCTAATCATGTCCAGAGACACAGCCTCTCTCCTGCTTTCACTTCTCATACTGATGGAGGGAGCGATTCGTTTGTGAATGAATCTCCGTTATGAATGACTCCTTTACGGAGCTGACAAGAATACAAGTTTCTGGCAGCGCAGCATCTCGTTGTCATATTTCTTATGCATTGTTTGCTGATTTTATTCAACAAAACGTATCATAGGCCGAGAGTTTAGTGCAAATTGGTGCTACTTTGCCTTATGGTGAATGCAGTAAGAGACTGCATCATCATAGCACAAAAGTTCATACCATACAAAAACGTAAAAAATGAAATCTTACCTATGAAATGT